CCTCTATGGGCATGTAGCAGGAGTGTCAAGTCGTTGCATCGCGACTTGTTCAGCTGGCCGTAGAAATCGCGACTCATCAAACAATTCCACAGATTGTCCCACTTTTTGCCCTTGTGCGACTTTAGTGAACATGTTAGACAGTCACAACTCTACCACTCTACCTACCTCACACTTTCGGAATCCATGTATTTAGACTTATTCAACCGAATCCAGAGATATGAATGTGAATTTGCTAACTGTTGCACACGGACGGCAAGCCGATCTAATATCTGCCCTGAAATTACACTTTTATACGCCGCGCACATAACGAGTTCCCTGGAGTTTTGGAAGCTGGGCATCGAACAACCCCCACTGACATGAACTGAGAGTGTGTTCCTGTTGATATGCTCACTCTTACCAGAAATATGCGCAGTTGGACGCTCTAAGTCTGGAGGTTCACCTATCTTAACGAAAAAACTTTGTGGATGGAAAACTATTCTTAATGTGGAGGAATCCCACAGGTTTGGGTGCCCGTACAGTATGCCACACAGACAAACTGCCTCTTAGAGAAGAGATTTTCATTAATCTCCACGGCGGTAAAGAGTGCCAGTCTGTTTGGATAGTAAAGTTAGACAGTTGGATTTGTCTTATACAGCAAGTCAGCCAGTCGCTTAGTTCTCATCATTGGGCCCAACCGAGTGCTGTCGACCCGAGGTTAATATTCCATCATTTTATTGTGCAACAGACTTTCTGAACTCCATGTATGAGGGGCCGACTGCAGGCTTGATCAGTGCAGAGTAGAAGTTTTGTGTTGCGACCGTATCACTTCTCTCAGATGCCTAATAGCTTTAACTGACAGATCTGAGTTCATGTAGTGTCGTGTAGCCGAGTCATTCGTCAAATCATATTTGGCACGATGAACCCCAGGACCTACTCGATGAAATATTAAACAATTTGTTGTGTGTCGAGTAGTATGCGGTACTAATCAGTTGAGAGCCAAGGGTCGATTCACGTGGTTGCCATATGAATCTACTGCGCGCGCAGCTTTGATTGGCCTGTTGACCTTGATCCCAGACTCCATTTTACCCTTGGTTGGCTAGTCACAAAAGATACGACTTTACCGTACTGTGACGGTTTGTACACCTTTGTGACTGGAGGCACTCTGTGATATTTGCCTTGTCTGCCATAACATGTTGGTCAATATTCAGACTAATACGGACCCGCAGTCTTCCAGGTTGGGAGTTGGAACAATTATGGCCTCATGGAATTTTTTAATTGTCACGCTCTTCGAGCTGATTTCGGCCCGGAACCCCTAAAGTATGGCGGTATTTTCATAAAAGTCACACCAACCACTGCCGCCCTGCACTAAGGCATTTAAACCGAAGATTTTGTTGGAGGGTACCAATCGTCCTCCTGTCTAGGTGTGGGCCAATGACAGTGTCTCAACCGGTATACAACCATGAATACCCATAAGTTCACGTTGGACATCGCATGGTGTCATCAGCCCAGTCGCCTATCTGCATACATCAGAGTGGGTACCCGAAAGCAGGTTAATGCCAATACCACCCATCGTCCATGAATATTATCTCAGCACCCCATTTATTCCATTTAATGGTCATTCTGCAAATTCGGGCAGTGAGAACGTCGTTCTTACATATTTAGAAATGATCAGTGATTCACGTCTACCACTTCCTGTCCACTTCTCTGACATCATTTCCCTGTTTTTTAATCCTAATCTTCGGGTTGAAGCGAATCAACCAACATGCTATTCTTTATCGGTAGATATATACCACTTCCCACTTCTCTGACATCATTTCCCTGTTTTTTAATCCTAATCTTCGGGTTGAAGCGAATCAACCAACATGCTATTCTTTATCTATCGGTATATGTTAGGCAGAATTCCACACGGATCCCTCTTTACCACGTCTTTAGGCGCTGCTACGGCCGGTAAGCCTGACCCGCACGAGATTGGCCAAGAATTCGGGACACTTGCCGGTCCGGCATCAAGGCGAGATCTGATTGGTCAGAAATCTGGACCCAACAGCCAATCGTGACCCAGTATTGACCAAATGCCGGTTGCCAATGGCGCATCCAGAACGCGTCAGAACTTCCAGAAAGTTATAACCGCTTACGCTGTATATACGAAGCGTTGTACAACTGTTCTTGGCTTCTTTTTGGGCATTAATAGACCCTGTGCACCTTTGGTGGTTGTTTGTGACGTGAACGCTAGCTTGGGAGGCTCAGACCGAGAACTAAGCTGAGGAAAATACCGTTACTGCAATACATAATACATTTCCCAAACTCGACCACAAAGTCCTTGTATGGTCATCATCATCTTTGAGAGCACAGCATCAGTGTTCAAAATTGATGCTTCGCTGCCCTACAGGCATAATTTATTTGAGCCTCACTGAAAGGGAAAAAATGGATGGGGAAAGAACCATCGTAGGAGCCATGGTTGTACGCGGGCTGGGATATTACCGGGGCACCCAGACCTAAACGGTAGGACGATTGGGGTCCCCAATCAAAATCTTTGGACCAAAAGCCTAACCACAAGGCTTGGCAATAAGTGCCACTGAACTGCATTTCTAAAGTCACCAAACAAACCTCACCCACCAAACAACACTGTGGTGTTTTCAACAAGTGTTCGGTCAATGCATCTGATGGTGTCTTGCTCCAACAGGACTCCAAGATATCTCATCTCTCAGCTGTCGGTCGTTTTTTTCCACAGGCCTATAGTTTTTACTGCAAGTCATTATCCTTCCCCTTTCCTTTCTCTACTGGAGCTTTCTTCCGTACCCCTATGGCTTTTAGGTATGTTGCTGTTAGATGATGATGGCTAGAGAAGCGAATCTTTTTATTTGCGTCTGTACAAAAATTTATGACGGTTACAGTTAACGTCGTGGTGTTTCAGGGAAACCCGAAAACGTACTGGTACATTATCTCCGATGGTCAACTGAGTACCTTAGAATGGTCCAAACGGTAGTAACCCACAGCGTCAATGACAATGAGATCTCTGCCCATCATCTCTTTGAGTGTTACTTGTACAGTCGCCAGTACAACTCAATCGGCTACGAGTGTACACACCGTAATGCCAATTTTCTTTTTGACGGCGTTTGTACTAATCCGTTGGAGGGTACCAATCGTCCTCCTGTCTAGGTGTGGGCCAATGACAGTGTCTCAACCGGTATACAACCATGAATACCCATAAGTTCACGTTGGACATCGCATGGTGTCATCAGCCCAGTCGCCTATCTGCATACATCAGAGTGGGTACCCGAAAGCAGGTTAATGCCAATACCACCCATCGTCCATGAATATTATCTCAGCACCCCATTTATTCCATTTAATGGTCATTCTGCAAATTCGGGCAGTGAGAACGTCGTTCTTACATATTTAGAAATGATCAGTGATTCACGTCTACCACTTCCTGTCCACTTCTCTGACATCATTTCCCTGTTTTTTAATCCTAATCTTCGGGTTGAAGCGAATCAACCAACATGCTATTCTTTATCGGTAGATATATGTTAGGCAGAATTCCACACGGATCCCTCTTTACCACGTCTTTAGGCGCTGCTACGGCCGGTAAGCCTGACCCGCACGAGATTGGCCAAGAATTCGGGACACTTGCCGGTCCGGCATCAAGGCGAGATCTGATTGGTCAGAAATCTGGACCCAACAGCCAATCGTGACCCAGTATTGACCAAATGCCGGTTGCCAATGGCGCATCCAGAACGCGTCAGAACTTCCAGAAAGTTATAACCGCTTACGCTGTATATACGAAGCGTTGTACAACTGTTCTTGGCTTCTTTTTGGGCATTAATAGACCCTGTGCACCTTTGGTGGTTGTTTGTGACGTGAACGCTAGCTTGGGAGGCTCAGACCGAGAACTAAGCTGAGGAAAATACCGTTACTGCAATACATAATACATTTCCCAAACTCGACCACAAAGTCCTTGTATGGTCATCATCATCTTTGAGAGCACAGCATCAGTGTTCAAAATTGATGCTTCGCTGCCCTACAGGCATAATTTATTTGAGCCTCACTGAAAGGGAAAAAATGGATGGGGAAAGAACCATCGTAGGAGCCATGGTTGTACGCGGGCTGGGATATTACCGGGGCACCCAGACCTAAACGGTAGGACGATTGGGGTCCCCAATCAAAATCTTTGGACCAAAAGCCTAACCACAAGGCTTGGCAATAAGTGCCACTGAACTGCATTTCTAAAGTCACCAAACAAACCTCACCCACCAAACAACACTGTGGTGTTTTCAACAAGTGTTCGGTCAATGCATCTGATGGTGTCTTGCTCCAACAGGACTCCAAGATATCTCATCTCTCAGCTGTCGGTCGTTTTTTTCCACAGGCCTATAGTTTTTACTGCAAGTCATTATCCTTCCCCTTTCCTTTCTCTACTGGAGCTTTCTTCCGTACCCCTATGGCTTTTAGGTATGTTGCTGTTAGATGATGATGGCTAGAGAAGCGAATCTTTTTATTTGCGTCTGTACAAAAATTTATGACGGTTACAGTTAACGTCGTGGTGTTTCAGGGAAACCCGAAAACGTACTGGTACATTATCTCCGATGGTCAACTGAGTACCTTAGAATGGTCCAAACGGTAGTAACCCACAGCGTCAATGACAATGAGATCTCTGCCCATCATCTCTTTGAGTGTTACTTGTACAGTCGCCAGTACAACTCAATCGGCTACGAGTGTACACACCGTAATGCCAATTTTCTTTTTGACGGCGTTTGTACTAATCCGTTTTGTTCCTCGTCTGGTCGTTATTCTCTAGTGTCTATGCATACGACTTACCTGAATGGAACGTTCACCTGACTGTTGAATCTCGAGACTCATGGAAGACCATTATATGTACATTTTTGTGGAGCAGCTGAGACTTTAACCTCGAAGCACTTTTTCTGCCTCGTTATTTCAGGATCAGAGATAGGATGTACGAGTCATTCGGATCCCTGGCTGGACCCATCAGTTTACGTATAGGCTGACGCTCTTGCCTTCTATTGCAGGTATACTTTCGGCAAGTCTTTCTTGTGGAATCGGCGACGTGAGTTTTCTAAGTATGACCGCGTTTTTTCATAGGTGAGTCATCTTGAGCGTTATTTTGTTCACGTACTGTTGACTTAATTCACCTGTCAGCTTGGTTTCAGCCAGTGTCCGCTTTAGGGTTTGACAAACAACCTCTAGTTTTCATACGCTAACTGAACCTTTCTCCTATGCTACTATTGACGCATTTCGGTAGGTGGAACTGGAAGTCTCAAACCACTTTGGTCCATGGAAGTAGAACATTGTCTATATGATCTCGGTTGGGAGGCAAAATGAGCCATTTGGCATTGTGCAGAAATAGACAGGATTACTTGCCTGATACATCATCCTACTATGAGCTGCTGAACACTGGCTTATTTCGCACAGTCCACACTTGCGATACCCTCACAAAAACGGTTGTGAAATGGGTGTGGCGAAGTTGGTTAGTTAGACCAACCGGGGATAAATTAAATTACCATGGACAGCGCAACACCTGTGTTCAACATCGATGTTTCGCTGTTTTAAAGAAAAGGATACCAGTGGATGAGGAAGGGACCTTATTCTAGCCCACTACAATCATTCTGAAGTGTCTATACCTCCATACATACACTGGTGACTACGGTGACTACATCCTGTAAAGCGAGTCTCGCTGACAGTACCAGGACTTTTCATGGTCGCTTTCATACCTCTTTGTCATGTCAAAGGTTGACCACCTCTTCTTTCACCACTCTGAATTGGGCACGGAAAACAGCACCCTTTTCTATAAACGATGGTTCTACATGAACAGATCATACCATCAGAGCTTACGATGCCGAACGAACTCTTCGGCTGAAGTACCCGTTGCATAATTGACCATTTGTTTTCTGGTTGCCTGGTGAGGGATATGTTGGCACAAGCTTGCGTGAGCCATGGTTTTGACATAACGAAAGACTTCTGTGTTTGACTGCTTGCGCTGATCACGTCTTACAAACATACAGTACATACCGAAGCTTGGAGATATACCGCTTTGCCGCCATATATTCCTCAAATAAGCAAACGATATCCGAACCTTAGAGATTCATGCATTGACTGCATTTCTCACACTACAATCGGAAGTTCAGCAACTTCCAAGATACGTGAAGCGCTGCACAACCTCGAGTGCCTCTGATTGGATTGGCATGTTGTATTGAAATGTTCAGTCACTGTGTGTTCAGCAATATGACCTTACTTTTTATGGGTACTAACCACGTAGCAAAGGACGGAATGACTTCTGTCAGTTCATCCAAAAACAATTGCATCCTTTTTTTCCAAGAGGAGAATGATGTCGCCTGCATATTCCAAATCGACGAGGCTTTTGTTATCAGTCGTCTGAACACGAAGGCATTGACGGCCTTCCAGCGTTTATTTATTTGTCGATCGCCACATCGTCAGTAACTGATGGCGATGTGATCTTTTTGAGAAAACCAGAAGCTTTGTCTAGTTATCGAAAACCAAATGGAAGACTTATGTGACGTTCATCTTGCTGTACAGAGTTCGGTTGTAAGTAACAGGGTAAGCACAAGTAGAAGGTTTTAGTTGTTGGTAATATAAAATTTGCGAGGTAAGCCTAAAAACGACGCTTCCGGTCTCAAAAGGAAACCAAAAAAGCGACGATACTGGGCATCACCTCTTTTTTAAACACACTCATGGCCCTTCTAGGATCTAGTTGGTTCAGCCCACCCGACGTCTCGTAGGTGATTCTTGTTCATTACTGGATTGAACCATGGCACAAGATATCTTTTAGTTCGGTCGGGACTGGATTCGGGAAGTCTTATAGTTTACACTGCGCAACGGATTCTTCCTGAATTTTTATCCTGCGGAGTTGTTTTCCGGATTAGGGAGTGCTAGTCGTTAGTTCAAAAGATTCACAGAACTATTAGGTCAAGATGAGCGTTTGTAATCCGCTGAGTACTAAATTTTGTTAGAGTTCCCTACACGTTATATCTTTGGATGGAGTCGGATGATCGAATCAGGCAACAGCTGGGTAAACCAAGAATAGTATTCAAAATAAAAATTCACCAGCTACGCAAACTGACCGGCTGATACGTAGTCCAGAGGTAACAGTCTGTGTCGTGTTTCCAGCTCCTGGCACCCAATTGATAGGCCCCGGTTGAGGGGAAAATGCTCGTTTGAATGTGCTTTTTGGAATCTAACTACAAATTTATTTGAACGACCCGGAGTTTTCTTATTGATTCGTGCGTAGCAATCTGATTGTGGTATGCAATGCGGTATGCGATCGAAAGCGTTCTAACGAGTCCTTCTCAAGAAGTTTAGATCTCACAGGAAGTCCTCACGCAGGTTCTGGAACAACACTTCCATATTTTGGGTGCTATCCCTGTTTTTTGGTGAGATTATCTCTTTCAACATCTCTGGAATCCCTCTCTCAGACGTTATATTTGGTTTATTTCTCCAGTGTTTTGTAAAATAACCAAACGGGTCACTATTTTTGTTCACCCTGCAGGAATTGTGTGTCTGCTTGGTCTTCGGGGACCGGAGCTGCCGGCCTGATTGGCGCTCTGTCTTACGCTGCTCTTACATCTGTTCTGTCTCCTGAGACAACACTACTTCTGGTTACCATGGTTCCAGTCTCACTGCTTTTGGTGTAAGTGATACTCTTTCCACTTTGGACTTCTTGTTGTCGTTTTTACATTCGTTACCATGGTAGCATAGTTTTTGATACAAGTCTTAGCCACCTGTTATTATGTGGTATTCATCGAAATATTGCGTCCCACTTTGCTTCTCCTTTTCTACGCATGTCCCTCTCGGCACCTGCACGGTAGATTGGTTCACTGTAGTGGAATATAAACCTGTATTGACGTGATACACTAATCCTAAGGTTGCTGCAAACAGCCCACGATGGGTTTCACCCTTCTTAGGGTTCATCAGGTAGATTCAGTCCCCAATTTTCCGTAAACCTTATGTTCTAGTTCTACTTGGACTAAAATTGCACGATCTTTGACTATACACTTAGCTGCACACTACTTTGGTTTTGACGGGAGGCTCGCCTAGAATCCAACTGAGTCTCTGTTTCAGGATGTCTTAGTTACTGCACCAGGCCGACTCATGTTGCAGTTGGTGCTGCGATATCTCGGATATCGTACCAACAGAAACATGAGGCGACCTAGTGCAGCACATTCAGTTGATCACCAACGTTATGGGCTAAAGATTCAGCTGGGTTTCAGGTGCGTTGAAAACCAAATGGGTATGCAGATGGGTGTATTTGTCGAAAAATGAATGGTAGCTGCCACCATACGGATAAAGCATATTTTCGGACGAATTGATCACTTGGTTTGCGTTATTCTATGCGATTTTGTGTCCATGGTGGTTCAGCAATTCTACTGCAACTAGATGCATACCATGTAGTCCATGCCCACTTAGCGTGTGCTCATTCAAGTCCCCCCACTAGCTTCCCAGCCAGGTTACGTCGATACTGCTGAACTGTTGAAACTCGTCAAATTCGCTTAGCGGAGTCGCTTTGCTTTGGCACGCGTAATGCTGACGGAAAGTGGAGTGATAACGACGCTACACAGTGGCGTGACTTAGAAGAAACGGAAATCTTTGAGGCTTTTCATCTGTACCTGATAGCCACATGATCCAACTGAGTCCATAACTTGCTTGAGATTGATTGCTTTCACGTAATTCGGTTTGAGCCAACTTACATTATTTATGGCGTCGGAGCCGAATTTCGCTGAAGTGCCATACATACGAGGCAACTGTAAGAACGGTTATGCTCTATGGGCTGGCCGCTCCGATCAGAGGACCTAAGCATCTTCGAGTGTTTGATCACTGGTGTCTCCAAGAGAAAAGTGGCTACTGCTGTTCCGCTACGAAGTGGTTCGTAAGCTGGTATTTGGTAGTAAAAATACCTGGTAGTGAAGGACTTGGTAGGAAATCCAAATCTCTAGAGCAGCGAAGTTAACTCGCCTGGTTGGGGTGGTTAGGGGTACCACCAGCCACCATCTACCGAAGAAATCGTTGCTTTATATTCGGAATGATTGTTGGCGAAAGATTCACGGGTGATGAACCATGACATGGTAACGTGAAATGAAAGCGCCTACTATCAAGCTAAGTGCTTTTTGGTACCTTCACGCTTTCCTGGGCTGGCTCGCAGCTTGTCGGAAACCCTACAGGATATGGCACCAAACCCTCCCCGGTGGGGCGCATCCTGTCACTTTTTAGCCGGAGTGCCCTGCTAAAATTTGCCTATCGTTGTGCGCTGGATTGACGTCGGGTGAGGTTCGCAAAGGACGATGAGTGGTGCCTTACTGATGCAATGCTCAATTGTGTCTACTGTAATGGTCATCATTGTTTATCCTTAAGGGCATGGGACTTATTCGCACTAGCCCCCTACCCTTCCCTTTTCACTTTTCTATGAATTTCTTCCTTCATGGTTAGTTAGGCACCAGCATGTCTGGTGTACTGCTGCCAATAGTGATGACGTATAGGTTGTTTCCAGCAATCGGCTGGGGCGCGTTGAATTACGTGCAAAAATCCCAAATGCCAAATCGTTCAAATTAAGGTTTATCAACAAGTGCGGTGCTTGGAAAACAGTAACACGATAATAAAACTTTACAAACCTCGAATCGTGGACTTGCGCCGGCTCCTACACATCGGTTTAGAAACTGCTTATTCCTAACCCCAAAGTCCACATGAACTCGAGACAAGGTGGCCACAAGATAACGAACACCGGGTTTTGATTTAAACAACACGTGCGACGATGTAGTTAGAGCGGTTTACTTTCAGGCCAAAGACGGGAAAGCCGGTGTAGCCGCGAAACCGAAACAGCAAAACGGGGAATCAAGTTGTACACGATAAGGATAGGAGGGAAGAGTCAGCATGATGATGATGCCTTTTGGTGTCCACAAACAAGTTTATTTTGTTCTTGTAGTACAGCTGCAGGATTTCGTGCAACAAAATCGTCCCCCCTCCTCATTGTACACGAGATAGGAGGGAAGAGTCAGCATGATGATGATGCCTTTTGGTGTCCACAAACAAGTTTATTTTGTTCTTGTAGTACAGCTGGCTGCATTCGTGCAACAAAATCGTCCCCCCTCCTCAATCATCATCATCATCATCGATAGCATGACATCAGTGTTCAACACCGATGCTTCACTGCCGTACAGCCATGACTTATTTGAAAGCCTTATTGTAAAGAAAAGAATAAAGGTGGATG